CTTTTTTTTTCTGCTTATGTGGTGCTGAGGAATCGAACCCAGGGCCTCATGCATGCAAGGCAAGCACTCTACCACTGAGCCACCTTCCCAGCCCAATATATTATTTTGTTTTTTGTTTTTGTTTTGTTTTGTTTTTGTCGTGGAACTTGAACTCTGCGCCTGAGCGCTGTTCCTCAGCTCTTCAGCTCAAGGCGAGTGCTCTACCACTTGTGCTACAACACCACTCCAGTTTTCTGGTGGTTTATTGGAGATAAGAGTCTCATGGACTTTTCCTGCCCAGGCTGGCTTTGACCAGCGATCCTCAGATCTCAGCCTCCTGAGTAGCTAGGATTATAGGCATGAGCCACCGGCACCCGGCTTCTTTTATGTTTTTAAAGTTAAATGCTTATAGGGATCTTTTGTATAGATGTGATGGTTTATATAATACTGGAAAGACTGGATATGAAGAGATAATGAGGTTGCTTCTTCCCACTTTGATGAGTGGAAGGGGAGGGATGGTTTTTGTTGGTTGGTTGGTTGGTCATTGGGCTTGAACTCAGATCCTAGGTGCTGTCCCTGAGATCTTTTGCTTAAGGCTAGTGCTTTATGGGGCTGGGAAGGTGGCTCAGTGGTAGAGCACTTGCCTTTCATACATGAAGCCCTGGTTTCGATTCCTCAACACCACATAAGCAAAAAAGAAAAAAGCCGGAAGTGGCGCTGTGGTTCAAGTGGTAGAGTGCTAGCCTTGAGCTGAAGAGCTGAGGGACAGCGCCCAGGCCCAGAGTTCAGAACCCACGACTGGGCCCCCCCCCCAAAAAAAAAAAGGCTAGTGATCTACCACTTTGAGCCACAGTACCACTTATGGTTTTCTTGTGGTTGATTGGAGATAAGAGTCTCACTGGGACTTTTTTGTCCAGCCTGTCTTTGAACTGAGATCCTTAGATCTCAGCTTCTTGAGTAGCCAGGATTACAGGCATGCGCCACTGGCATAATATGTGGAGAGGGGGCTGGGAAGGTGGCTCAGTGGTAAAGCCTTGCCTTGCGTCCATGAGGCCCTGGGTTCGATTCCCCAGCACCACATAAGGAAAAAGAAAAAAAGCCGGAAGTGGTGCTGTGGCTCAACTGGTAGAGCGCTAGCCTTGAGCTGAAGTGCTGAGGGACAGCGCCCAGGCCCAGAGTTCAGGCCCCATGACCGGATCCAAAAAAAAAAAAAATGTGGAGAGGGATGTTAGACCTGATCCTCTACTTTCAGAGAAATGGACAGAAGGCAGAGTTAGAATTAGTGGAATCAGCAAACTTACTTCTCCCTCTGATCCCCAGAACACAGATGAAGTTGTCAAGGTTATTAGGATGACAGACTGACACACAGATAAAAACAATATATTTTGCTGTAATGTGCTGGTAAGGTAGACCCAGATATCCATGTACTTACAAGCCAACTATGCAGCTTGTAAGTTTCACATACAACATATCTGTAACTGGACTCATAGAAGACAGGGTGACCTTCTCTGCCATTAGTTCCTGAAATAATGAGCGGAATCACTAGCCAACTTAATTTTATTAGCTAAAAAGGAGTGGTCTGTAAGTACCCTCCTTTTTTTTTGCCAGTCCTAGGCTTGAACTCAGGGCCTGGGCACTGTCCCTGAGCTTCTTTTTGCTCAAGACTTGCACTCTATCACTTGAGCCACAGTGCCACTTCCTCCTTTTTCTGTTTATGTGGTACTGAGGAGTGGAACCCAGGGCTTCATGCATGCTAGGCAAGCACTCTACCACTGAGCCCCAGTCCCAGTCCTGTGAGTACCCTCTTTTATTTTCCACTTCTTTTCCATCACAAAAATTCTGCTTTTCTCACTTTCCTCACCACCAACCTAGAGTACTATCATGGTCTCCCAACAGATTTTGCATTATTGTTTCCTTGCCCTTGTTCTATAATGAAGCCAAAAAGTGCAAAAAGTGGTCATACCAATAAAGTCCCCATTCCTTAACCTGAATTGTGTGTGTGTGTCTGTCTGTCTGTCTGTTTCTGTGTCTCTGTGTCTCTATGTCTCTATGTATGCATGCCTGCATGCTCCAGTACTAGGCTTGAACTCAGGGCCTGGGGTTCTGTTCCTTAGCTTTTTTTTTTTTTCTTTTTTTTTTTTGGTCCGGTTGTGGGGCCTGAACTCTGGGCCTGAGTGCTGTCCCTCAGCTCTTCAGCTCAAGGCTAGCACTCTACCACTTGAGCCACAGCGCCACTTCCGGCTTTTTTTTTCTTTTTGCTTATATGGTGCTGAGGAATCGAACCCAGGGCCTCAGGCATGCAAGGCAAGCGCTCTACCACTGAGCCAACTTCCCAGCCCCCTTAGCTTTTTTTTAAACTCAAGACTGGTACTCTGCCACATGAGCCACAGCTCCACTTCTGGCATTTTGGTGATTAATTACTGAAGGTAAGAGTCTCATGGACTTTACTGCTTCAGTGGGCCTTGAGTTATCCTCAGATCTCAGCCTCCTGTGTATTACGATTACAGCCACTGGTATCTGCTTCCTTAACCTGATTATATGGTCCTAACTGCAGCCTTCCCTTGTTCCCTTCTACCTTCCAACATTTGAATTTTAGTCTTTCTCTTTCCTGGTACATACGGCTTCTCATTGCTGGACCTGTGTCAGCACTGGATCCTCACCCTGTGCCTAACAACTCCTCATACTTCAGGTGTTAGCTAAATACCATCTCCACAGGGAGGACAGCATGAGATAAGTTCAGCCCCTTTCCACCAAGTTGCCTTTACCTTCCCTTTTGGAAAGTTCAGCACTTGAGACTACTCTTTAAAGTTGTTTTCAAGCCTGCAAGATAAAGAGAAAAGTAGAGTAATCTTATTTGCTGCTGCACTTGTTTCTGATAGCTGGTAGCCGTTTAGTAACTAGATATTTATGGGATGAATGAATGAGGATTGAAATGATTACTTCTGCAGAACTTGTAGAATAGGATAAAGTATGGGCTGTGACAAGTGAGCCAACAAAATAGTACTGTTGTGCCAAAGCCACTGTTAATTCTGCAGGGAAGCTTAGCTTGCCTTGGAATTTGTGAATAAAGCACTCATGATGTCTGCTTCACCTTCCAGAAAAGGTGGTAAAGAAAGGGAAGAAGGATAAGAAGACCAAAAAGACGGTGAGAAAATGAGGGAAGAGGAGAAATGACTATGGGTGTTTCCATACAAAATAAATGGCCATGTGAAGGTGGTGGGAAGTGCAGGGAAGGGAAAATGGTCTTGCCATGAGGGGATAGCAAGGCATGGTAGATGTGGCTGTTGTCCCAGTACTTGGAAAATGAAAGCAGGAGGATTGCTTGAGTCTAGAAGTTTGAGGCCAACCTAAGCAACAGACCAAGATATTGTTCCAAAAATTTAAAACTAAAATACCAACTGATACTAAAAAGAGGGAGAGAGAGGAAACAAGGGGAGAATTGGTTGGAGAACCTGTGTGTACAGAGAGATTGACCTTAGACCCATGCTTGTCCATATCTTAACCCGTTAATAGTTCTTTGAGGAGCTGGCAGTAGAAGATAAACAGGCTGGGGAAGAAGAGAAAGTGCTCAAGGAGAAGGAACAGCACCAGCAGCAACAGGTATAAGTGATAGAGGCCCCAATCCTGGGAACACCTTGAGTCCTTCAGCCTTTCTTCAGCTAACATTGGTTTGCTCAGTTTATGGGGAAAAAAAGTAGATCAGGAGTCTGGCTTCATCCTCCCACTTTCTTTTGCTTTCAGCAGCAAAAGAAAAAGCGTGACCCCCGAAAAGGCCGGCGGAAGAAAGATGCAGATGATGATGGAGAGGAAAAAGAACTCATGGAGCGTCTCAAGAAGCTCTCCGTGCCAGGCAGTGATGAGGAGGATGATGGTAAGTGACCTGAGAAATGAGTACCTGGGATCCTGAATGAGGAGGAATGATACCTCCTACTTTGGTCTTTGAATTGGAGGAGCCAGATACTGATATTTTCTTGCCTATCTCATCTTTGCCTTTGGTCATTCCAGTACCTGCAACGATACCCCGAGGAGGAAAGAAAACCAAGGTGAATTGTTTATTGGTAAGCAGAGACCCCAAGGGTATAAACATGGCCATGACCATCTCTGTTGACTTTTGTGGTTCTTTCCTCTAGGGTGGTAATGTTTTTGCAGCCCTGATTCAGGATGAGAGTGAAGAGGAGGAGGAAGAGGAAGAAGAAAAACATTTTTCTAAACCTGCCAAACTAGAGAAGAATCGGATCAACAAGGTGAGAGTGGTTGCTCCCATTCTCTATAGTGCCTTTGGCGAGGGTGTGGCACTTTTAAACTAGCTCTTCTGTCAGGTTCTCCCCAGCTGCACTCATAGTTAATCAGAATATTTTTCTTTTAAGCAATTTTTTGCTTTTAAGCAATTAAGTGAAAATTAATGTGTGTCTCCTGCAGGCTGTATCTGAAGACCAACAGCCTGGCCTTAAGGGCAAAAAGGGAAAGGAAGAGAAGTCCAAAGGAAAGGCAAAGGTGAGAGAATGACTGGCAGGACAAAGAACTAGATTTTTTTTTTTTTAATTTTTTTGGGGGGGTCTGGTCGTGGGGCCTGAACTCTGGGCTTGGGCGCTGTCCCTCAGCTCTTCATCTCAAGGCTAGCACTTTACCATTTGAGCTACAGCGCCACTTCCAGCTTTTTTCTTTTTGCTTATGTGGTGCTGAGGAATTGAACCCAGGGCCTCAGGCATGCAAGGCAAGTGCTCTACCACTGAGCCACCTTCCCAGCCCAAGAACTAGATCTTGAGAATTAGAACATTTCATCAGATCTTTCTCTTGTCTGTTAGCCTCAGAATAAATTTGCTGCTTTGAACAATGAAGAGGATGATGAAGAGGAAGAAGAAGTAACTAAAGAAAAGGAGCCTCCTAAACAAGGGAAGGAGAAGGAGAAGGAAAAGGTCAAGAAGACAGAACAGGTGTGTGTGAGAGAGAGAGAGAAACAGAGGGATTTAGGCTCTGCAGCTTTTAGGGGAAATTGAGATTCTAGGGGTTGTTGCTATTCAAAGCAGGAGTCTAAATATTTTTCATAAAGAGCCATATTGTGTTTTCAGCTTTGAAATTTTTTGTTTGTTTTTGTCAGGTGTGGGGCTTGAACTCTGGGCCTGGGCGCTGTCCCTCAGCTCTTCAGCACAAGACTAGCACTCTACCAGTTGAGCCATAGCACCACTTCCAGTTTTCTGGTAGTTAATTGGAGATAAGATTTTTTTGACTTTCCTGCCTGGGCTGGCTTTGAACCGTGATCCTCAGATCTCAGCCTCATAAGTAGTTAGGTTTACAGGCTTGAGCCATCTGGCTTGTTTTTGTTGTTGGTTTTTTTTTTTTTTTTTTGGTAGGCGTGGGGGCTTGATCTTGGCCTGTTGCACTGTTCCTGAACTTTATTGCTCAAGGGTTGTGCTCTGCGACTTGAGCCACAGGCTACTTAGCTTTTCCTGGTTAATTGGAGATAAGAGTCTCACAGATTTCTGCTCAGGCTGGTTTCAAATTAGTATCCTCAGCTCTCAGCCTCCTGAATAGCTAGGATTATAGGCATGAGTCATTGGTGCCTGGCTTATTTGTTTTATTTAAAAATCATTTTATAGGGCTCAGGGGGAGAAGGAGAAGAGAACGAGGAGGGAGATTCTACTAAGGCAGATGATCCCTATGCAAATCTCAGCAAAAAGGAGAAGAAAAAGCTTAAAAAACAGGTAAGTTATTGGTTCTTTGTAGTCAATGTAAGAGAATTTGATTTTTTTTTTTATGCTCCAGCTAAAAGGGCATGTAAAATTGGGGTGTTTTACTGGAAGTTAAACTTTTAGAATAAGGAACAAAGCATGTTCTCTGAATCTTGTCTCAGCATGTGAATACAGTCTTGTTATACGGTGATAGGAGACTGGCATGATACAGATGGCCTCATACAGTTTTTCTTTCCTTCTCAGATGGATTATGAACGCCAGGTGGCTTCATTAAAAGCAGCTAATGCTGCCGAAAATGACTTCTCTGTATCCCAGGCAGAGGTGTCCTCCCGCCAGGCCATGTTAGAAAATGCATCTGACATTAAGGTGAGGTTGGATGGGGCCCTTGCTTAAACTGTTCACCTAGGGAGGAGCCTGTTGGATTTTCCCTGAGTGGTTGTGGCAACCCAGGCAGCAGGATGTGAAGGAGCTAGTTTACCAGAAAAGCAGGGCAGGGGCATTTGTACAAGGATCTAGAAAACTCAGTAGAAAGATTGGCTACTATTGGAGGGATATAAGTGAGACAATCTAGCTTGAGGATGGTGAGACTCCCATGAGAGGCAGTGGACACAGAGGTGTCCATGTGAGGGGTGCGGGATTCTGCTAGAGCTATGGGTCAGAAGCTCCCAAAAGTCACAGCTCCTGTCTCAAAGGTCTCGTGCTGATCTCCCTTTCCTCTCCCCTGCTGGTCACAGTTGGAGAAGTTCAGCATCTCAGCCCATGGCAAGGAGTTATTTGTCAATGCTGACCTGTACATTGTAGCTGGCCGGCGTTATGGGCTCGTGGGACCCAACGGGTGAGGAGATGGGTCTGGAGGGCAGAGAGGGGATTTATCTATGGTGGGCAAGTCCTCATAACTCTTGTTCTTCAGCAAAGGCAAGACCACACTCCTCAAGCACATTGCCAATCGTGCCCTGAGCATCCCTCCCAACATTGACGTGTTGCTGTGCGAGCAGGGTGAGGCCAGTAGGGTGGAGGGCCTGGGGCTGAGCAGCTGAGGTAGAAAAACAAGCCCAAACCAGAAGTTGTGGTTGTGGAGTTGGGAGGATAGTGGGAAAGGCTGGGAACTGAGAGGGAGACTAAAGAAAGGAGGGGAAGGTAAATAACAGACTTGACAGTTTAATTTTTTTGAGCAGCAGTGGGGCTTTTACATAAGGCTTTATACTTGCTAGGCAGGTGCTTGAAAATGTCTTATTGAAAAATTCTGGGCAGGGTCAAGCAGAGCAGAGATGGAACTAAGGGAAGAGGAAATAGGTACCTTGGCTCCTGGGTGCTCTGACTGTTCTTCTCTATTCCGCAGAGGTGGTAGCAGATGAAACACCAGCAGTACAGGCTGTTCTGCGTGCTGACACTAAGCGATTGAAGCTGTTGGAGGAAGAGCGCCGGCTTCAGGGACAGCTGGAGCAGGGGGATGACACAGCTGCTGAAAAGCTAGAGAAGGTAGAGGAGATGGCGCAGGGGACACGAGCTAAGACTCAGGGGTCCCCGGACCCTCAGACATGTGTCCTCTTCTCCCTCCTCCCAGGTATATGAAGAGTTGCGGGCCACCGGGGCAGCAGCTGCAGAAGCCAAAGCACGGAGGATCCTGGCTGGTCTGGGCTTTGACCCTGAGATGCAGAACCGCCCCACACAGAAGTTCTCAGGGGGCTGGCGCATGCGTGTCTCTCTAGCCAGGTGGGCAGTACACCTTACCACCCTCTTCTATCCTCAAACTGCCAGGACTTTCCCTTCTTCCCACTCTTCTAAGGCCAGTAGGGAAGTTCGAAGCCACCTTCTCCCTGCCATACTGTGTACATTGTGAGAGATTAGGATCTTTTTTTCTCCCTTGCTGATAGTATGTGCTCTACCTGTGACCTTCTCTGAGGAGAGATTGAGAAGCTTGTTTATGATGCTAGACTCTGCCTCTCAGAGGCTTCGGGAGCTATTGAGCAAAGGTCTTCCTTCCTTCACCCTACCAATGTGCCATTGTTCTTCCCTCCAGGGCATTGTTCATGGAGCCCACGCTGCTGATGTTGGATGAACCTACTAATCACCTAGATCTCAATGCTGTCATCTGGCTCAATAAGTGCGTTACCCTTGATAATGGCCTTTACATGGGTTCCCATAATGGGCTTCTTTCCCTCCCTTCCTGCCCCATCATCTGCCTCTCCGCAAACCATTGTAACACTTGCACACTCTTCTCTAAATCACAGCTACCTTCAGGGCTGGCGGAAGACATTACTGATTGTCTCCCATGACCAGGGCTTCCTGGATGACGTCTGCACAGATATCATCCATCTTGATGCCCAGCGGCTCCATTACTACAGGGGCAATTATAGTAAGTGGGATATTTTAGGGTGAAAGAAAGAGATGGATCCTGGCAGCAGGGCTATGGTGATAAACTAAATCTCTGCAGACTTCCAGACAGTTGTGCCTTCCCACATCCTCGCCTGTTCTTGATTATTCCTTTTTTGCACCGCAGTGACCTTTAAGAAGATGTACCAACAGAAGCAGAAAGAACTGCTGAAGCAGTATGAGAAGCAGGAGAAAAAGCTGAAGGAGCTGAAGGCTGGTGGCAAGTCCACCAAGCAGGCGGTAAGCCCTGCTTTTTTAACAGTGGGAAACGACACACTGCAGCGACTACTGGGCAGTCTTCAGATTCCTCCCTTTTTTCTCTCCCAGGAAAAGCAAACAAAGGAAGCCTTGACTCGAAAGCAGCAGAAATGCCGGCGGAAAAACCAGGATGAGGAATCCCAGGAGGCCCCTGAGCTCCTGAAGCGCCCCAAGGAATACACAGTGCGCTTCACCTTCCCAGACCCACCACCGCTCAGCCCTCCGGTGCTGGGCCTGCATGGTGAGTGACAGGGCACTGCCAGCGGGAAGGCAGGGCATGGGTACTCATGAGACTGCTCCTCTTCCTTTCTTCCAAGGCCAGGACTTTCGAGGGGCCTGTGGATGACTGAGAATTTAAGTTTGCTTCTTTTCCTGTCTCACAGGCGTGACATTTGGCTATGAGGGGCAGAAACCACTCTTTAAGAACCTGGATTTTGGCATCGACATGGACTCAAGGAGTAAGTTGGTATTGAGTGGCTTGGTATATGGAGCAAGAACAGGGAGAATTTTGGGCACCTCCTTTTTTGACTACCTTTCTTTCTTCTTGCAGTCTGCATTGTGGGCCCTAATGGTGTGGGAAAGAGCACACTGCTTCTGCTGCTGACTGGCAAGCTCACACCGGTGAGTCCTGGAGGCAAGAATCGAGAGTGTGAGCAGTATGTGGGCCCTGCCATTCACCAGTGGCTGGAGTTAGGGAACATCTCTGCAGGCAGACTTAATACAGACCTCATCTTAGATGACTGATAAGAGAGGCTGTGGAGAAAGAGTTCAGCTCAATTTTCAGAGGACAGGTCAAAGGGCAGGGTAGGGATTTGGAGCCACCCTTTCGTGTATGTTTTGCTTATACAGAAAACATAAGGATTGGACACTGGTGGCTCACACCTGTAATCCTAGCTACTCTGGCGGCTGAGATGTGAGGATCATGATTCAAAGCCATCCTATTCAGGGAAGTCAGACTTAACTCCAGTTAACCACCAAAAAACCAGAAGTGGAGCTGTGGCTCAAATGGTAGAACACTAGCTTTGAGGTGGGGAAAAAAAGCCATGAGCTGGTGGCTCACACCTGTAGATCTTCGCTACTCAGGAAGCTGAGATCTCTGGATCACAGTTCAAAGCCAGCTGAGACAGAAAAGTCTGTGAGACTTTTTTTTTTTTGGTCCGGTGGTGGGGCCTGAACTCTGGGCACTGTCCCTCAGCTCTTCAGCTCAAGGCTAGCGCTCTACCATTTGAGCCACAGTGCCACTTCTGGCTTTTTTTTTTCCTTTTTGCTTATGTGGTGCTGAGGAATCGAACCCAGAGCCTCCTGCATGCAAGGCAAGTGTTTTACCACTGAGCCACTGTCCCAGCCCCTGTGAGACTCCAATAAACTACTCATAAAAAGCCAGAAGTGGTGCTGTGGCTCCAGTGGCAGAGTACTAGCCTTGAGCACAAAGAGGCTCAGGAACAGCACCCAGGCTCTGAGTTCAAGCTCCATGATAGGCACGCGTGTGTGCACACATACACCCACGCACACACAAACACACACACACACACACACGAAAAGAAAAAAAGAAAAGAAAAAGAAAATACATCACCATTGTAGAATGGCTAAAAATTGTGTAAGCCAGAAGGAAATTACAAAGGTAACTGGTATGAATGTTTTGGGTTTGGTGGATAGCTTTTTCCTTCTAGCTTTTGCGGATGTGTATTGTATTTCTTTATAAATGAGATATCACATGAATTCTTTTTTTTTTTTCTTGTTGGTTGTAAGGCTTGAACTTTGTTTGGGCACTGTCCCTGCGTTCTTCAGCTCCAGGCAGGCGAGCACTCTACAACTTGAGCCACAGTGCCACTTGCAGTTTTCTGGTGGTTTATTGGAGATAAGAGTCTCACAGACTTTCCTGCCTGGGCTGGCTTTGAACCATGATCCTCAGATCTCAGCCTCCTGAATAGCTAGGATTACAGGTGTGAGCCACCAGCGCCTGCCTTACACATGAATTCAGAACCCGCCTTCTCCAGAGAATGCACATCAATTTTTTTTTTTTTTTGGGTCCAGTCGTGGGGCCTGAACTCTGGGCCTGGGCGCTGTCCCTCAGCTCTTCAGCTCAAGGCTAGAGCTCTACCACTTGAGCCACAGCGCCACTTCTGGCTTTTTTCTTTTTGCTTATGTGGTGCTGAGGAATCGAAGCATGCAAGGCAAGCGCTCTACCACTGAGCCACCTTCTCAGCCCCTCAAGTATTTTTTTTTATGTTTTATATGCATACCATATGTTTTATATGGTCTACCATAATGTATTTGATGGCAGTAGTCATTTGGAATTGCTTTTAGGACTTTGCAGTAGATAAGAAAAGTTGTAGCCATTTTCCCTTACTCCAGCAGAGGTCTGTGTCCTCATACCTGCAGAGTAGGTCTTTATAAGGTGTTATTTTATTATTTATTTTTGCCAGTTTTGGGGCTTGAACTCTGGGCCTAGGCACTGTCCCTGAGCTTCTTTTGCTCAAGGCTAGCACTCTACCACTTGAGCCACAGTGCTGTTTGGCTTTTTCTGTGTATATGGTACTAAGGAATTGAACCCAGGGCTTCATATGTGTGAGGCAAGCACTCTACTACTAAGCCACATTCCCAGCCCTATATGGTGTTATTAGGTCCCTGAACCTCATCTGAGGTAGAGAATAGCACTGCTGTTTATGAGTCTCATTGTATGTGGAAGTTCCTTCTCTGTACTTTTTGTCTCCTCTTCTTTATTTTCCTTCTTAAGCTTAAAATTTCCTGGGTATGCCCTTGTGCTATTAGGAAGAATGTCCATAGACCCTTTCCTGTATATACTTGGTTCCAGTAGAAATCTGGTATTTGTTTCCCTTCAGAAAAGTTGGGATAGAGTGATGCAGCCCCTTTTCTCTTACCAATTGCTTTTTGCTTTGCAGACCCATGGAGAAATGAGAAAGAACCACCGACTGGTAAGTTGGCTTTGGAAATTAAGTAATGAAAATCTGACAGAAGAAACATGACTTGATCACTTCCATCTCTTGGGCAGAAAATTGGCTTCTTCAATCAGCAGTATGCAGAGCAGCTGCACATGGAGGAGACACCCACTGAGTACCTGCAGCGGAGCTTCAACCTGCCCTATCAGGATGCCCGCAAGTGCCTGGGCCGCTTTGGCCTTGAGAGCCATGCCCACACCATCCAGATCTGCAAACTCTCTGGTATAACTGCAGGGGACTAGGAAGGGTGCCCTCCTCATTTTTTGTACAGATTGGTATTAGAGGCTGAAAGGAGGAGGACCTAGGAACTGGGGGGCTTCAGCAAAGATAAGCACATCTCCGCGGTTTACCTTCAGTAGTGTAATAGAAAACCTATAGATTCCCTTTTCTTCTGCTTCAGGTGGGCAGAAAGCCCGGGTAGTGTTTGCAGAGCTGGCCTGTCGGGAGCCTGATGTCCTCATCTTGGTGAGTGAGCTGGACAGTTGGGGGAGGTGAAGAGGGGAGTGAAGTATATGGGTCACAGCAATGGAAATCAGGCATTATAATGTTCATCTGGGGGTTTGTTGTTTTTTAGCAATAAAAGTTGCTCTTTATATATAGCAGTAAAATAAGCAGGCATCCTTTTAACAGCTTGTTCCCTAGGAGAAACATTATACATTATTCACAGATAAGCAGGGAGAATTTTTAAAATTTACTTTTTTTTCCCTCATAGGATGAACCAACCAATAACTTGGACATAGAATCTATCGATGCTCTGGGCGAGGCCATCAATGAGTACAAGGGTGGTAAGTGAGCTCTAAGCATGTCCTCCTCCCCCCAAGAGAGCAGGCATTCTTTTGTTTCTAAGTCTCTTCTTTCTCCTCCTAAGCTGTTATTGTTGTCAGCCATGACGCCCGACTCATAACAGAAACCAACTGCCAGCTGTGGGTGGTGGAAGAGCAGAGTGTTAGCCAAATTGATGGTGACTTTGAGGACTACAAGCGGGAGGTGTTGGAGGCTCTGGGTGAAGTCATGGTCAACCGACCACGGGAGTGAGCTTTTCCTCTTGGACGTATCCTGAGAGACAAGTTCGCATGCCCAAGTTATCTGTTGTCACCCTTTCTCCACCTGGAAGCCTGCCTCTGGTCCACAGCTGACTGACTCCTGCAGCCAGCTCAGGCACATGAAAATGGACTATAGCATTGACGTGACCAGGACACCACTTAGATTGCTTCCTGCCTTCTGAAAGACCTGGATGTTTGGCTTTTCTGCAGATAGCTCCACTGTCTCATCCTTGACATCCCTCTGTACAAGCAGAGGTCACATCAGCTTTGTCGTTTTTGGGTTTGCTCCAGCCAAGCTTGAGTGGCCTCTAGTTTCAAGACTTCTCAGAAGCCTGCCTCTAAAGTTTGAGGCCTAACTACTCCCTGGGTCTTTGAGTGGTGCTGCTCTTTTCTGGTGGGTTTAGTGCTGATTTACTGACTCAAACGACTACTGCACCTCAGAGTTGGAGGTGCATATCTGAGGCCCGTGTTCTTCTCTAGCCCAGATCAGATGCCTGTGGTCTCTCGTTGGGGACTTGTGGGCAGGAAAGGAAAGCTGCTGAACTTGAATCTCCTTTTACAAGAGGAAGAAATAAAAAAGCAATTTTTAACTGTCCTGTTACTGTTTGAAGATTCATGGAAGTTGAAACTTTTCTATATTGATTTGCTGACTTTAGTGTTCTCAGATTTTAATAATCTTCCTCTCCAGCACAGGTAGATCTAGCTCACCATGTCATTGCACTTTAACCAGTGCTTCCTCTTTCAGGAGCCTTTCTCTCTCCCCCAACCCTAGGGCAAGAAACGCCTGAGTCTCTAACTGCCCAGGCAAACCTCACAAGTGAGTAAGGTGCCCTATAGCTAGGGACCAGGTTGTGGATGCTCTTTTAAAATAATAACTTTAACCAGATGTTGGTAGCTCAAATCTGAAATCCTAGGTACTTTGGCTGAGACCTGGAGGATTGCAATTCAGAGCTAGTCCAAGAAGAAAAGTCTGAAGAGATTCCATCTCTATATAACAGACAAAATGCCAGACTGGAGACTTGGCTCAAGTGATAAGTGCCAGCAGTGAGCAAGAAAGCCATGTAAAAGTCCAAAGACCAGGGTTAATACTCAGTACTAGTGTTTAAAAAAAAAAAAGTATTGCCCGGCCCTGATGGCTCACGCCTGTAATCCTAGCTACTCAGGAGGCTGAGATCTGAGGATCTCGGTGCAAAGCCAGCCTGGGCAGGAAAGCCTGTGAGACTCTTATCTCCAATAAACCAAGAGAAAAGCAGAAGTGGCGCTGTGGCACAAGCAGTAGAGCGCTCACCTTGAGCTGAAGAGCTCAGGGACAGCTCCCAGATCCAGAGTTCAAGCCCCACTACCTACCAAAAAAAAAAAATATTCAGCTACTAACCAGCAAAAAGCTGGGCTTCAGACATGGCTTAAGTATAGAGTGCCAGCTGAGCAAGTGTGAGACCTTCATTCAAATACCTACAACATATCCTAGTTCAAACATCCACAAACAACAAAGTAGCCTGCCAACATGTGCAGTACAGGAATATATAAGAAGGTAAAAGAAGCTGGGCGCTGGTGGCTCACAGCTGTAATCCTAGCTTCTCAGGAGGCTGAGATCCAAGGATCACAGTTCAAAGCCAGCCAGGAAAGGCCCTGAAATTCTTTTTTTCTTCTTTCTACCCTCTGCGCCCCAACATACCCCAAATTCATGGCCTGACCCATGTGAAATTCTTATCTCCAATAAACCACCAGAAAACGAAGTGGTGTTATGGCTCAAGCAGTCAAGCGCTAGCCTTGTGCTGAAGAGTTGAAGGACAGCAACGACTGATCAAAAAAAATAAAACAAGGGACAAATGAGTGACAGCCAGATGGCATATAATTTCCACAATTTTGTGAAGTAGATCTATTATATATAGACTGGTGAGAACCAGGCTTCAAGGCCACCATTAAGTGTTGTGACCTTAGAGAAGTTACTTGGACTTGGTACCAGTCTATAAAATGAAGTGGATAATTATTTCATAGGGAAATATGTAATAATTATATGGTGCTTTAAGATTTATTTGGGCTATCTGTAGTTCATATTAGACTTTATACTGAATTTTTAATTCATTAGTCCAAATGAGATAAAAACAATGTAGAGGAATGTTATTTGTAAGCTGAATAACAAATCCTTCCCCCGTTCCCCCAGCCCCGTATGAGAGCTCCAACTCGGGTTAAGGGGATTTGAAGTCAGGCCCTGACATGCTGGCTCACCTTTCTTACTCTTGGCTAGCTTTTTTTTTTTTTTTTTGGTCAGTTGTGGGGCTTGAACTCTGGAACTGGGTACTATCCCTAAGCTCTTCAGTTCAAGGCAAGAGATCTACCATCTGAGCCACAGCGCCACTTCTGATTTTCTGGTGCTTTATTGGAGATAAGAATCTCATGAAGGGGCTGGGAAGGTGGCTCAGTGGTAGAGTGTTTGCCTTGCATGCCTGAGGCCCTGGGTTTGATTCCTCAGCACCACATAAGCAAAATGAAAAAAGCTGGAAGTGGTGCTGTGGCTCAAGTGGTAGA